TCTCTTTCTTTCTCTTTTCGACTTTGTACCGTAAGTAAAAGCACTAAATGTGTGCGCGCCGCATCGACGATTAGTTTCTTTTCTTTTCATTTTTTAACTCTCATATGTTTCTCTCTCCTTCGAAGACCCGCTTCTTGTCGGAAACCGCTCGACATCTCGCGTCGGTGTTCCTCTAAATTCTCTCCCCACTTCTCTATCTTCTCTTCTCTTTACGCTTATAATCAATTTTAAGTCCGTAACAAATATGTATACTTTCTCGCTCGCGCGAAAGATAACTATACACGACTATATTATAGAGATACGTGTGGGATAACGCACAAAACAATCGAAGAAAGACATACAATGACCGCGATATACGTGAGAGATTACACACATTCGCTATTTAGTGTCTTGGTACTCGTTATAACACCCGCGGCATCGGAAACTTCGATATCAGTCTTTTTTTCACATCGCCTGAATCAAGATTATTAGTCAGATATGAGTTCGGTGTTATCGTAATACAGTGCGAATATCGTGAAGGGAGGGGGCGAGGAAGGGATGGAGAGCGAGGAGAACAATGAACGAAAAGCCGTGGAACGAAACTACGTGGAAGGAACGTGCTCTAATAAATGATGATATCACTTTTCATTCGATTACTACTCGAACCATCCAGTCGTGTAGTTCCGTAAACGAGCATTGATATTCTCTCTTTAAAATCTGTGTTTATATGTACAATCTAATCAAAAAATACAACGCGATGAAAATAAACATTTAGGCGAGCGGGATCCCGCCATTCGCAAATCGTTACCGTATGCTGCATTACTGATATCCTCGCGGATTTATTCCGCGAGCGGTCGCCGAAAAAGCGACAGATTCTCACATGTCTCTACGCGCGATCTCTACGTTTGATGCTACACGACCGGATCTGATCGGTCGATCGCCGGACTTGTCGATACATTCGAAGTCGAGTACTATCATACGTCTTATCATACTCATCGCGCGACAAGTATAGGCGAAAAAAATAAAAAATAAAAGCGAGAAACACACGCTTCAAATGCCGTTGTTCTGTCTACTTTTTGATTCAGACAGACACTCACTCCGTGCAAGCGTAATCGATCATACGTAAGCTTGTGTAACGAAAACATCGCGTTAGGGAGATATATCTCTCGCGATTAACTTCTATATGCATATCTTATTAATATTTACAGCACTTGTGATAAATCTTATTAATTTATTGATCTCTTCATTCTTCAACAGTTCATGCATGGAAAGCTCTGATCAACAATGACAAATCATCGTAAGGCATTTACCTGATTACATGATAGAAAAATGAGTTCTTTAATTAGTTTATTTAAATAATGAATATCGACTTTTTTTAACATTTAAGATTTCGCTTTGGTCCATAATGACGTATACTTGATGTTTCTATTATGCGTCACGTTAGTATCGTTCTGTTTACGACCTCAGAAAGTCAATTTTATTTCTGTCTTATTATTTTTCTGAATATCGCGATGCTAGCCCTTTTACTCCCATCTTAGGATATTTAATACGTTCTAAATTCTAACAAAGCGTTGCAACTGCATTATTATGAGATACATTAGTCTGTCCCCCTCCTTAAAATAATCATTAAAGCTGCAATGGGACATGTGCTGATGAGGATGAAAGGATTAAATAGCGATCTTGAGTTTTCTAGGAATTGTTCCTTTTCTCAACGAAAATGAGATTATCTCCCTATGCGGTGTTTCTCTTTTTCTTCAAAATCTCGAGCTTGCCTCGCTGTATATGTTTATTCACTATCGCTGAAAAACATATGAGAAGCGAATACATACACAGGACAGGCGCGAGTTATAACAATTAAGTATAAGATCGTAGTATGATGTTGATATCGTGGAGATGATGGTGATGGTGATGGTGATGGTGATGGTGATGGTGATGGTGATGATAATGATGATAATGATGATGATAATGATGATGATAATGATGATGGTGATGATGGATGATGATGTTGATGATGTTGATGATGATATTGAAAATGGTAATAACGGTAATAGTGGATCCAGGAAAGATTCGTCGCTCTTCCTCCGCCATATTTTTTCGCTAAAGATATTTTGGCGAAAGAAAACAATCGAAGGTAAAGATACTTTGTACAAAATACGATACAAGTAGCGATGTAACAACATTTTGCAATAGTTAAATATAATATATGTATATATATATATATA